GATCTAAATGATTGAACGGCTTCAGCAGGGGACACGTTTCTAATGACTGGCATCAAAAATGGAAAAAAGTGCAAGATGTCCCCAGAAAGTTCCTGTAAGTGTCTATATATGGACGGATCTATATTCCAAAAATAAAGTCTTTGGTCGACGTTTCACCAACTTTTAAGGCCTCTGACATCACTAGACTTTAATGTGTGGCAAGACAAGGTTCCTGTTTTTGGTTGTTTTGACAAAACGGTGATTTGGACCCACTGGTAGGAAACACAAGCTGGTGTTCACGGGGTCTATGTGTTGTTATTATACGTCTGAAATTCTCTAAGTTCAGCTGAAATATGTTCCTGAACCTGGTTTTGGGCCCAGTAAGCTGCCGCGGGCTGACCCTGGCGTTGCAGGTAAACAAACTCACATCTGTAGCTTCAGCGTGTGCGCGGGTTAAAGGTGAACGCCGGCGAGCACGACCCTCCCTCGCCGCTGTTTGGAGACTCTGCACTCACATAATCACAGACATCAGGGGCGCTTTTGTCTAATTTGTTTCTGAGAATTGCGTAATTGAGTCTCATTGCTTGCAGCTCGGCAGCACAATCGCCTCCTGTGATCCCGGAGCAGCGTGCACGGCGGCGGCGGGGGGGTTTCCTGTCCAACGTGTGCATGTATGTGAGGGGGGAGGTGAGGTTAGTGCACAGAGGGCTGAAGTGTGCCCTCGAAAACCACCCGAGCCACTTGTCTTTGTGTGTTTTATGGCCTCGTGAGCTGCAGACGTACATGTGTTTTACATTCTGCAGCCAGCGAGCGCCGGCCTGCATACATAAAGAGCATAAAGGTGGGAGTGTGTCGGCGTTAAGGCGCTCTATGTTCTCGCTCTGAACGCTGCTCTGTTAGCTCGGAGCTTTTACTCATTTCCCCTGGCAGCCTTTCTGACACACACACACATGCATGTGGCGGCCTTCATAAACAAACCCTTATACCGAGCCACGGTGAGAAACAGAAGCCAGAGCGTTTCAACTGCGCCACACTTTGTTGGATGCTCGCGAACACACTTCCTATCCCACATGTACGCCGCATCCAGGCCGTCCAGCCCGGTGACGAACACTCGGCCTGGACACGTCACGCTCCGCTCTGCGTTCACAGGCTGCTGGATGCGCCAGAGAGTCGTAGCGACAGAAACGCTGCCAACCAGAACGTCACCGCTGAATGAGAAAGGTGTTTTTCTCGTTAGACTTGAGTTAAAGTGGCAGCGCGCTGGAAGGCAAAGATGGGCATCAGCAGAAGTCCGATCCTCTGTTTGCATCTGTTGTCGCACAAGTGACGTGAAGTTTGACGGCGGTTTGCGTCTCTTTGTGTAAAGGTCGCTAGCTGCCACAGAAGTCTTCGTCATGGTGCCTGTTGCTAGCTAAATGCTCATCAGTTCCTAACACGGAGCCCTGACCTCAGATCGACATCATACGTCTGCGTTTCATGACCACAGCTGCAGTCCTGTGAGCCTCGTTTCTTACGACAGCGCCACCTGTTGAATTGCACGATGGCAGAAATGCTTGAGTTGTATTTTTCAGGGTTCTTCCACCCAGAATGCTGCCTTCTGTCCAAATACTTCTAGTTTTCGTAGTAATTTTTAACTAAAGGTTTTTTTTCCACACAAAACACCACGTCATGTCCTAGTTCCTCCAGGTTTAGATGTTTCTTCGTGGAAGGTGCTTTTCTCGTTAGACTTTAATTAAAGTGGCTGGAAGGCAAAGATCGGCGTCAGCAGAAGTCTGATGCTATGTGTCCACTGGATCTGACAACATCCTGCTTCCTATTCGTTGTGTAGTGAAACGCTCCTCGTCCTGTTCCTGAGTGGGCCGTTTGGAGTGACGAGTGTTGCCGCGAGCCACCTGTAGCTCATTTGCATAAAGTCGACTTGACTTCTATTTTATGCAAATGAGGCGCGGGGAGCGGCGGTCCGATGCCTCGTGAAACTTTCATAAAACAGCTAAACTAGCGGTTGAACTAAAACGAGGACATATTCAGCAGCTGCACTGCCTGTTCCTCGCCTCAGATGTTTTCAGAAGTACTACAGAAATACACCGCTCGTGAGTCGACGCGATTGTCCAATCAGGTGCAGGCAGGATAGAAGGAGAAGAAGCTGAGGTCTTCAGAGTTCAGTATGGCCGTGGACATAGACACCGCCTCCTGGGCTGCCAGTGACCCGCCTTCGAAGAGATTTTAGGAAGCAACGTGATCTGGCGCGGGGAAAATCGCTCCAGTGGACACATAGCATCAGTCCGATCCGTCGTTTGGATCTGTTGTCACGTAGGCGATGTAAAGTTTGAGCTGTCGCAGTACGCTTCGTCTTAAACCCAGTAGCTCTCATTCACCACGGCGTAAGCCCGGTGCTAGCTACACTCCCACAGTGCTCGCTGGTCGCCAACATGGAGCTGCCTCTTCGGGTCGACAACATGGGACTGAAGTTTTATGACTGCAGTCGTAGAACTGAACTTTTCGGACCCTTGTTTGTTGCAACAGTGCGTGACTTCTGGTCATCGAGGTTCACTCGACCCGTATTTTAAGTTGTAGTTTTAAAGGTTTATTCCACAGAAATGCTACTCTCTGTCCAAGTATTAACGGTTTTAAAGGTTTTTTTGGCCCAAAGAGTCCGTTCTGTCCAAGCAGGTTGAAAACTTTCTTCCTCACAAATAGTCTTTTCTAACAATAAGTTATAGTTTTAAAGGTAAACTCAGAAACACTCATTTCAGGGTTCCATAGTTTTAAAAGTGTGTTCCTCATAAATAGTAACTTCAAATGAATGAGTTTTTCACCCTAAATGCTGCTTTCCTTCAGAGTATGAACAGTATTAACACCGATCCAACAGGTTTTGGTTTTATTCCACCTCAAACTGTCCATTCGTGGGTTTTTTGCCAGTCTGTGGGCTACCGACGCCAACAAGTGGTGGCCATGTTATCAGAACCAGAAGAGCTAAAACAGGGGTCGTGGTGAAGCAACGCTCCTCTGCTGCTGAACCAGGCCTCTTGATTTTTTACACTTTTTAACCTCAAACTAGTAACTGACAGATTGACTGACGGCACAAACGCACTTGAACGCCTCATCGTCCCACTCATGAGCACGTCAGGTGCAGCAGCTGCAGGACTGGAACGTGCCGTCGGTTGTTTTCGCTGTCGTTCAGGTCGACACACAGCAGAGCAGTAATTAGACCCGTCCAGGCCGAGGGAGGAGGCGCTGAGCCGGCCGATGACACAATGGTTTCTCCTCAAGGCCGCTGTTTATTTTCCTCCGGCTCTGTGCACAAGAAGCCCTTTCATAGCCGCTCACCTGTTTGCTTTGCTTTAGATAGCGGCAAACGTGGACGCCGTTCCAGGCGGTGGCGCGCACGCGAAGGCGTCGCGTTCGTGGAGGAGAAAGTGAGTGTTAATGAAAAGCACGTTACCGTCGTGTGGTTTCCAGCCGCAGGCGGGACGACACGGTCACACATTCCCTCACAGCGCCGCCGCCACACGGACCAGCAGGCCGCAAACTGGGACGAATGGTCTCCAGTAAACCACCGTCACATGTCCGTCTGTTTCATTATTCCTCCTGCTGTGATCAGTTGCTGCACAGCGCTCACGGGGACGAAGCCTCCCAGGAGTTAGCTTGAAGTTTCAGCAGCGTTTTAAAGGTCATGTTGGCAAAACTGCTTTTTTTTCTTCTTCTATTTTTTTGGCCATATTTTGCCTTAATTACATGTTGACAGCAGAGAGATGCCAGGATGACTGCAGGGAACGAGGTGGGAATGACTTGCTGCAAAGGTCCCAGAGCAGACCGGGGATGCAGCCAATCAGGGCGACCCAGGCAACCCGAGGCTGTGTCGCGCTTCCTGGAAAAAAAAAAAATCTACCTTAACCCTCTGAAACCACAGCCGGGGTTTAAAATACATCTTTTATTTTATTTGTTTTAAATCCTGTAAATTACAACATTTATCGGAGCCAGAAACTATAAAAACAGAAAAAAATCGTCCGGCGTTTATTTTTCCGACAGTCTTTGAACTACTCATGTGTGACTTGCAGTTCCATCTTAAAAATTAACCAAATCTAAACTTGAAATCTGAATATTTCACCAAAATGTTTTTATTCTACATGTTTGATTTAAAGTTTTACCGTAAACCAACCGTTTGCACCTTTAATAGTCACCGTCTGAAGCCTTTAAATGAAACGTTCAAATAACGTTAGAGCCAGGAAACAGAACAGAATCAAATCTTTTGCACCAGATCGGCGCGAAACATCCAGAATGTTTTCGATAATTAACCGTCAGGGATTGAAAGGCACAATTAGGCCGTTTGTCAGAAACTGCATCCATCCATCCATCATCTCTACACCTTCATCCTCACCAGGGTCATGGGGGGGCGGAGTCTATCCCAGCTGACTCAGGGTGAAGGCAGGTTCACCTGGACAGGTAACCAGTCTATCACAGGGCTACACTTAGAGACAGACAACCAAGCACACTCACATTCACACCTACGGACAATTTACAATCACCAATTAACCTCAGCATGTTTCTGGACTGTGGGAGGAAGCCGGAGAACCCGGAGAGAACCCACGCTGCACGGGGAGAACATGGAGACTCCACGCAGGAAGATCCCGGGTGTCCTCACCGGGACGCCAACCGGCGACCTTCTAGCTGTGAGGCCACGGTGCTAACCACCGAGACACCTGCAGCTCCAGAAACTACATGTTGGATTCAAAAATCCACCCGTAAATACAGCGTTTGCACCACAAAAGAAAAATGTGTGACAAAACTTCAGAGTTTTCAGGTTGAACTGCAGCCGGTGTAGCAGAGAGGAGACGACGACACAGACTTCCATCAGATGCTCTGATCTGAATGATTGATATTTACCTGATTGTAAACATGAGGGGAAAGCGTATTGATATTTCACACTAAAGCCACTCCTGACTGATGTGGCCTTTCATCTCTCCTCGCTGTCTCCACCTCTGATGGACAAACTGAAGGTGTTGTTTGGTCGTTTGTTGCAGAGATTCTTCAGTCGGACCGACCGAACCTGAGGAGGACGCAGAGTGAGGAGACTCCCGGTACAGCAGCGTCGCACAGCAGGTCAGTGAACGCACCACCGGCTCAGATCAGCGGAGGTTTTAGAGTTTCCTGCTGCCGTCATCTGGAACAATCTGCATTTAAATGTGGTCAGAGCTTGTTATGATAGATAAAATACGCTTTTCAAGGTTTGTTCCTCCAAAAGTAGCATTTCTATCAAATAAATTAGTTTTTTTAAGGTTAATTACCCCCAAAATGCTGCTTTGTGTTCCAGTGCTTAGGTTAGTTTAACCCGACTAGTTCACTCTGACACATGAAATATGACTTTAAAGGATTATTCCACACAAATATTCATTTTTAGTGGGTTACTTGTAGTTTTAAAGATTTTTCGGACCTACGTGGTTTTTTTTTCTTCTTCTAATGAATACATTTATAAATACTGTTTCTGTCCGAGTCTGTGTCGTCTGAGGGATTTATTCACACAAATTGTGCTTTCAAACAGTTAAGTTTTGATTTTAAAGGTTTATTCCATCTAAAATACAACTTTTTGAATAAGTATTCTTTTAAAAGTTTATTCCATCAAATTTTGACTTTTGTTTTTTCATGTGTTTGTTTTACTCACTTTTAAAAGTCATTTAACTAAATAAACTACGTTTGTAACAAACAAATCTGGTTTTAAAGGTTTGTTTTACCCAAACGGCACTTTTTTAACACCTATTCCACTGAAATACTACTTTCTGTCCAAGTAGATCTAATTTTAAAGGTTTATTTCACCCAAACATCACCTCTTGTCCAAATATTTGCAGTTTTAAAGGTTTATTCTGCCCACTTTCCAACAAACAACACATCAAAGGAGAGTTTTTCTGACAAAATACTGATTTTTAAAAGTTAATTCCACACAAATTGCACTTTTTTAATTAACAAATTAGTTGTTTTTTTTTAGATTAATTGTACCCCAACCTGTACATCATCATCAGAAACCACATTTTTCACAACACCAGAGTTACTGGATGCTTTACTTTATAAATATTAACCTTTATACAACGTTACACTAACGTCAGCGTGTTCGGGCTCCACTCTTCTCTCAGCACGTTTCAGGGTTTTAGGGATTATTTTATAGAAGAAGTCTCGTCTCAGTCAGATATTCACTGTGTAGCAGGTTTACAACGTCATGAAGCTTTTCTACATCACACACCGTCGGCGGTGTGACGTTCAGGAACGTGTAACTGTTTAGATCCTTCACCAGACGTAGAACTCTGAAGTGTTGAGTCCAGCTTCTCCTGAACAGAGCTGTTTGGTTTGGACTCCATCTTTAAGTTCTGACTTGTCACAATGCCGACTGTTCTTTGGGGACGATCCAGCTGGAGTTGGTTTGTGCTCAGTGAAGCGTGGGCTCATAATCGACCGCCTGAACATCCAGAGAAGGTTCTATCCTCGGCTCTGCACATGTTGTGGTGCAGTAATAACTGCAACAGCACAATAATAAACTTGCGTGACCTCCTTTCTGTTCGCAAAGATGACAATCACCGCCCCCAGTGGTAGCTGTAATCCAAACAGAAGGCGGCGGACGGATGGAGGCTGGAGCTCCATCAGCCTGCTATTCCCTCCAGTGCGGTTGGGGTAATAAATAGAGGAGCTGGCCTGTTTCGGAGCTGTGGGGTCGGCTGGTATTTCCCTCCAAACACTGCAGGGGGGCATTAAGGGCAGTTCAGCCAAAAACGCAGACCGCCGCTGTCATGGAGAAGCAGCAACATCTCTATGAGTGTCTGGAGCTGGACGTCCAGTCTGGACACCGAGTGGCTGCTCTGCTGCTGCTGCTGCTTCTACTTCTTCTGTTTCTTCTTCTTCTACTTCCTTTATGTATTCTTCTTTGACTACTTTTGCTTCATCTTGTTATCTTCTACTTCTTCTGCTTCTCCTTCTTTGTGTTCTTCTATTTCTTCTTCTACTACTTTCTTCTTCTTCTCCTTCATCCACTATTTGTTCTTACTCTTCTTGTACTACTTCATTTTTTTCTTCTACTTCTTTTATTTCTTTTTCTTCTTCTAATACTACTACTTCTACTATTTAATCATCTTCTTCATTTCCTACTACTACTACTACTTTTTCTTTTTCTTCTTCTACATCTTCTTTTATCTTCTTCTACTTCTTCCTCTTCTTTTACTACTACTACTGCTACTTACTTTTCTTCTTCTACTTCTTTTGTCTTCTTTTTCTTCTTCTTCTACTACTTTTTTAAAAAAAATCTTCTTCTTCTTCTTCTACTACTACTACAGCAACTACTAACACTATTTCTTTCTCTTCTTCTACTACTACTTCTTTCTCCTTTCTCTTCTACGATGACTTCTTCTTCTGCTGTCACTATTTCTTCTTCTTCTTCTTGTGGCGACTGACCTCCAAACCCAGAGTCCAGGTTTTGTGTTTGGGCCTCAGCATTCCTCGGTCCTGAGGAGGCAGCGTGTTTTCCTTTGTCAGAAAAGCAAAGTTATATTTAGCGTTTAGGAAAATCCGATTGTGTTCAGTGAGGAAGAGCAGTTTCTGTGAACCAAACCGGTGGCTGAGTCAGGAGCAGCACCAGCGAAGCGTTAAAACAGGAAGCGGACGTAAGAAATGCAGCGGTCCAGTAGAGTGTTAAAGCTTAAAGCAGGTGTTTATAGAGATATCTGTAAAAGTTTAGCTTCATGTGTCAAATACTTCTAGAAATAGATCCTTAAAAATCGCCCACTTTTAGCACATTTCTTGCCCACTGAGGCTGTTTTAGCAACAACATCTGAGGAACTACTGAAGATAAAAACCTGAAACGTTCTCCATTACTTCTCATCATGTCACTGATTCAGAACCTGTCATATCAGACAGTCGATCAATAATCTGATTATGGGGGAGATGAAAGATGACAAAAGGTCTAATGAACCACACGTAGCCGCAATAATACAAAACTACACACTAGAATACTTTAGGTAAGAAAATACTTCTTCTTCTTCTTCTCCTACCACTATTTTGTTTCTCCTTCTACTCCTATGACTTCTTCTTCTACTGTCACAATTTGTTCTTCTGCCTCTTCTTCTTCTTCTTCCTCAAATCTTATAAGAAAAAATCCTGCTGAAAGTTGGTTGACTGGAAATTTGAATATCTCTGAAAGTACTGGATAAATCAGTCTAAAACGTCACAGATATCTTTATAATGCTCGTATTTTGTGTGATCAGAGGAGGTTCAGCAGAGACCTGATGGTTTAAGGTGGACTAAAGCTGCTGGACATGCAAACGTTGACGTTCCTCCTCGTCTTCTTCTCTCTCCATGTCTTCAGGAGCAACAGACACTCGGTGGGAGGTTCGCAGGGCGAGTCTCCGGGCGGCTCCAGAGGAAGCTCCCTGACCAACGGGGAGCTGCCCGAGGAGCAGAGCCCCGGGCCGGGATCATCGGGCCGCCGCCGGTCCTCCAAGAGCCACAGCAGCCCAGGAAACAGCGCAGGTACCGACTATCACGGATCAGTCCGGCTCTGTTCTGACAGCATGTAGGACACAAGCTGCTGCAGATTTTGTTCATTTATGTGTTACTTGGGTTCTGGAAAATATTTTGGCAAAATTTAAAGAAATTTTTTTTGTATTTTCACCCTGAAATGAAGTCGTTCTCAGGGTTCAGTATCTCCAGAAGTGAAACTCCCACCGTCATTAAGGTGGTGAGGACTCAGACAGAACCGTGTCCATCAGAACGATTAAACCGCTCCAACAGAGGACACGGTTTGAATTATTGATCTCAGAGGAAACTAAAGAGCTGTCCAGATTGATCACGTCTGTCATGTGTCTATCTGCTGTACTGATGAAGTTCTGAGGCTCAGAAATGATGGAAAAAGTCCATTAAAGTGATCAATCTGGACCCTCCTCTGTGGACTTCCAGGACCTGGACCTCTGGAACATTCACAGTCTGAAGGTAGAACTCTGGTCAGTAGATGAAGGTTCTGCAGATACAGAACCAGATGTTCTGAGGTGTGTGAGTTGAGAGCAAAGTTCTGGTAAAACTGAATAATTCTTTAGTTTGTGAGTTGGACTGGTTCTGGCTGGGAACTAGAACCTCATCCCGTCCTCTGTGTGTCTCAGATAAAGTGGAGCTGACGTCCAACGGGCTGGAGAGTCGCAGCAGCGTCGCCCGCCACACGCCTCCTCCGTCCTCCCCGTCGGGTCGGTCTCCGGCCGCCAGCAGCAGCGGCAGCAGCCCGTCTCCGGGTCAGGACGCCCTGGGCCCGGCCGCCCCGGCAGAACCAAGCCCCAGCGCCACCGCCGGCACCGAGCCGGCCGGGAACAGCGGCACGGAGTCCAACACAGACTCGCTCCCGGCTGGGTAAGACTCAGACTAAAGAAAGGAGGAGAAATCTTTGTTTTCAAAGCAGGTCTTTAAACCTGAAGGTACCCAGAGGAGCGTCTGACTGCTGCTGGGTCGGTGCGGTCCGGTCCACAGCTGGCACGGGTTAAACTGTGTTTCTACATGAGACGTGTGAAGAGATTTTATTGAAATATTGATATTATTATAATAATGCTGTTGAGGTTTTAGCAGCAGGTCGTGTGTGTAGTTCAAGACTGTCTGGAAGTTCAAAAACCAGGTTCTGGTTCTGATGAATGGTGTCACTTTGTCATCTTTTAAAGCGTCTAACACGTCTTTTAAACCTTTTGGTGGCTTTTGCGGTTGGTTCAGGTGGTTAATTAAACTTTAGTGAAAACTCATTTCCTATCAGCTGATTGAACTCCACAAACACTGAAACGACTACCGTAATGTCTGGACTATAGGGGCACCTGAATATAAGCTCCACCCACTGACTTTACACAGGAAACCAGGTGTTTTCATATCCAGGCTGCTGTTGTCTCTAAGCTGCAGGTGTCCACGTTGGATCATGAGATATTCACACAGGAAGATGTTTTAACCTTTAATTAAATGCGTAGCGGTAACATACACAGATACGTACCGTAGAGGCTTTTTTCTGAACACTTCCTGTAACACGGCTGGTTAAGGAAATAAAACTCCTGCAGCTACCAGGAAAAGTCCCTGATGGCTATCTTCATCTTCCTCCTGCACTAAAACCACTAAAGTCGTCTTCTTCAGTGTCTTCAGGAGCTGAACAGCCTCAGAATCACTTCATCACTTCCTCAGTCTCTCTGTCGTCGTCGCTCTCAGCCTCACTTTGGTCTCGAGGTTAATTCGTAAAAATCCATAAATTAGTCTCATCGTTGTTTAAGCTGCAGCGTTCAGAGCGTGTGAAGGAAGTAGGTGCTGATAGTCCAGACATTACGGTAACTTTTACTCTGCTATTGTAGGAAGCATGATGCCAGTGATTGAACCGTGTGAGTCGTTAGTTTCAGGAAATCTGCTGCAGATGAACAGCTGTAGAGTTAATTCCAGGTTAAATGAGCTTTATTGACATGAAACACAGTGAAGCCAAACAGCTCCAGCACCAGCAGGGACAGTTGTGGTGTTTGTGCTTGTAAACAGCTTCAGTGTGAGTGAACGGCTGCAGGCGATGGAGAGCGTTCAGCGACACTTCCTCTGTTGCCTCGACGCTGCTCACGCTCTGCTACGACGGCTCATAAAACGCTTGTTTATGTGATGTGTTGAAAGACTAAATGAGTGTTTGTGCGTTTTGTGTTTCTGCAGCTGGGAGCAGAGGGTGTTGCCTCATGGCAGAGTTTACTACGTCGACCACAACACCAAAACCACCACCTGGGAGAGACCGCTGCCTCCAGGGTAGGACTCTAGAACCTCAGGGGAGCTGGTCAGACTGGCCGGAGTGGGAGGCTTCTGGCTCAGCAGTACAGCTAACATCACACACACTTTCAGAACTAATCCTTCATCACACCACTCACCTAACTCACCTACATCACATCAGATGTCCCTCACACCAGTGAAACACGTCAGACTTTAAACCAGCAGCGCTGCCTTTATTGAGCTGTCAGCTGACCTGAACAGAGGAGTTTACAGGTCTGACTGCAGGAGGTAGATCATTGGACACGATTCAGACCAATCAGCTTCAAATGCTAACCCTGCTAGCATGCTACATGTAGCTGCCAACGTGTTCTGGGTGGAACGTGAATCTTTCTAGACAGTGTCCACAATCTGACAGTAGCTTCTTGAAGCTCACGTCCTGTAGAACCGAGTTATCCAGTTCAAACATTCGCACCGTGCTGCTGAAGGTTTTCTGAGGAACATTCAGAAAGTCACGTAAACGTCCTGGTTGCTTGTGCACGTGCTCAGTTCAGACACACCAGCGAGCAAAGTGACACAAAACAATGTTCGGTTAATTGTTAAACTAATGATGTAAGAGAAGCGTTCCTCTGTGTGCTGATGGACGTTCACCACAAAGCCCAGATCGTAGAAACGCTGTCCTTGTTGACTCCTGCTGGACGCCGTTAGCCGCTACAGGTGCCATGGTGCCAGCAATGCTCGCCAACACCGAACTGTTCGTAGTGCAAGGCTGCCTTTTCTGGTCGCTGAAGTATTAAACATTGCAGTCTGTTACGTTGTCAGCCAGCATGAGGCTCCACCTGGTGGTGCAGCCAGGTACTACAGCTGAGCTACAGCACTTGGTTTCCGATGCCACTAAAATGAAGACGTTTCTGGCGATGCGAGACCCCAGTTTGACTGATGTTGTGTTTGTGAAACCCTGCTGATGGTCAGCCTGGTGGTCATTTCTCCAGATAAAACCTTTCATGGTAGGAATGGTGATTTCTGAAAATGTTCTTAATAATCAATAATCGGCAGCTTTATCAATCAATATTTGATTAATCAATACCAGGAAATGAACTCAGTGGACATCCTTCTGTTTCCTTCTCCACATTAGTCTCTGTCATGGTGTCCATCGCTGCTAAACTCCCACATGGTTTAGTTTTAAACAGTAAGAGGCTCCACCTGTTGGAACAACCAGGTACTACCGCTGAGCTACGATACACCACATTTGTCTCCTGCCTTATCGATCAATATGTTTTTAATCAGTTAGATCATCAGTGGCGACAAATGGAGTAGCGATTAATCGTGAACTTCAGTTTTCCGTAGAGTTTACGTTGGAGTCTGTGTTTTACTGGGAGTTGGTTGTTTCTAAGCTAACGTTAGCCAATGTTGCGCACCGATGGCAGAAGAGAGACATTGAGGTGGCCAGCAGCAAACGTAAACGTCTCATCGTTTGGATTTTCCTGAGTCCACAGACAGTTGGAAATGGTCTCGGTTCGTTAATAACGTCCATTTACATGCTGGCAGTAAAAAACCGATTGCTTCACATTCTCACCTTTAAGACGGTTTCCTGTTGGTCAGCATCGGCCTTTTTTGTTGCATCTTCATTCCAGCGTTTGTTCTTGAGTCTGACTCTAAAGTTACATTTTTTTAGAGGACAAACACGTTAAACTCGATTCAGAAGTGGTTTCGCTGTTATCCTGATTGGTGACAATCAGAATCCAAGGCTGTCGCTATGTTAAGACTGTTTTTATGGGTTCTGTTCGTTTTTCCTAAAAACCTGTCGGATAGCAGGTTTAGGATGGTTAAGGGTCGGATTATCGAGTCACGGCTGTATTTCCAAAGTTGCCGATCATCAGTCGGGCCAAACAGGAAGCTGCTGACGGACCCCAGATTTAATTCTACGTCTGCAATCTGACTGAGTCCATATTTAGAATAATGTTCCCGTTAGAGAATAAACCATGACTTGTCCTTCATTGACTTACAGCAAACCTGGAACAAAACCTGCTGAAAGTCAGTCTTCATCTAGTCGCTTTAATATTCGCTCTCTCCAGTAATTAACACACAGAGCCAAATCTTCAGCGAGTTACTGTAAGGCTGCAGCCACTAATTATCTTCTAATACCTGCCTCTGACAATTAGTTTACCCGACTCATGATTTCTCCTAAAATACTAAACAGCAGCGTGAAAGGTTCAGGCAGCGTTCATCCTCCATGTCGATCCTGTCAGACGGTGTGAAGGGCATCAAACCCCAGATTGAGCTTTCTATAGCGTGTTCAGATAGCGTGTGCAGGTAGCTGTCTTCAGGTAGCGTGTTCAGGTAGTGTGTGCAGGTAGCGTGTTCAGGTAGCGTGTTCAGATAGCGTGTGCAGGTAGCGTGTTCAGGTAGCGTCTTCAGGTAGCGTGTTCAGGTAGCGTGTTCAGGTAGCGTGTGCAGGTAGCGTGTTCAGGTAGCGTGTGCAGGTAGCGTGTTCAGGTAGCGTGTTCAGGTAGCGTGTTCAGATAGCATGTTCAGATAGCGTGTGCAGGTAGCGTGTGCAGGTAGTGTGTTCAGGTAGC